CGAGGTCGTCTCAGTTCTCCGTTTAAATGTAACGTTAAAAGAAGATTTAAACCGTTTTAGACATCTGTGAATTAAATGGATTAATCAATTAATCATCACTATTGTAGGAGAGGAAGGCCGTAGACCTACAAATGGATGAACATGACTCCTTGTTAGGCTATAAACGTGAAGAAAACGCTCCGATGAGTCTCTTCATCCGGTGTAGCTCATTGGTGTCCTCGTCCTCATCCTCAGGGTGGCGCATCTGGCAGGAGAACTGGTCCGAGCTCTGAAACAGAGGCAGCCAGAGCTCCACATCACCGACAGAGACGTCCTCTGTGTGCAGATCGCCGGGCTCTGCCACGACCTCGGTGAGTTCAGTTCAGTGTCGGGGGCTTAATGGCGACTTATTGGAACCAGAAGTGATGGCGTGTTGATTACATCCTCTTCCCCTCCAGGACACGGGCCCTTCTCCCACATGTTTGACGGAAAGTTCATCCCCAAAGCGCGCCCAGGTTTCACCTGGAAGGTAGGACACAATGACACTTATATTTTAGTGTTTATAGATCACTTCATTGATTTGCATTGTTTTCTTTTTTGTCACAAATTATAATGACTTTTAAAGCAGCATTAACGTGAATCAAACATGTTATTAAAGGAGCCCGGCCCTTTTACCTGGGCTACTGAGGTGCTGGATTCCCCCGGATTGGTCGGTATGATTGCGCTGTTCTGCCAGCCTGAATCACCCCAGCGATCATCTTGGCTTGCAGACATAATCAACCGACACGTTCTGAGTGCTGTTGATCTTAGTTTATTTGTTACATATACACATGTTTTGTTGCCAGTGGAACAAACTCTCCAAGGATCAAGTAAAAACATTTGATGGGAACATTTAGCTCCTACACATGTTGTAGCGAATGGATGAATGGAGGCAGAAGACGTTATTTCTCAGTTACAAATATAATCTTATGTTCTCTGACAGCTTTATCATCTCTCGTGGAAATTAAGCTTGGTTAATAAAAACCTGCGTTGTGATTCTCTAGAACGAGTCAGTCAAGTCAAGGAGATGAACACAAACAACTTCTATGACTGACAATTGTGCGGGTGGAGGTTTGGGAAGACGGTGGTGTGGTGGTTAGCACTATCGCCTCACGGCAAAAAGGTCCTGGGTTTGACTCCGCCCGGTGGCCTTTCTGTGTGGAGTCTGCATGTTCTCCCCGTGTCTGCGTGGGTTCTCTCCGGGTTCTCCGGCTTCCTCCCACAGTCCAAAGACGTGCTCTGGGGATCAGGTTGATTGGTGATTCGTAGGTGTGTGAATGGTTGTTTGGCTCTGTGTGGCCCTGCGATTGGCTGGCGACCAGTCCAAGGTGAACCCAGTCTATCGCCCGAAGTTGGCTGGAACCCTGCGACTCTGTGTGCAGGGATAAGTGGGTTTGACGATGGATGGATGGATGGACCACATTTAAACACTGCTTTTGACGACCAGGTGCTGTGAAATTACTTTAAAATTACATTATAAAGTCCAACACACAGATATATTTGTCAACGATAACTGACATGGGACAAAGCACCGAATAAATACATAACAGATTGAAAAAGGCAAGTGAATAAAAACATATCTTAATTTTTGCTAACTGCTTTGCTGCTGTTATTAGCGAGCTAATGCTAGCTTGTCCAGCTGGATGACGAGTAAAAAGCAGCAGGAGAAGAGCTGCTGGAGGCTCCTCCCACAACTTGGACGAACTCTCTGCCTGCGCCACGTGATTCACAACAACTACCGCTGCTCTTTCCTCTATCGCGCTCATCTCTGTGACTTATTGAGTGGCGTCATTATCGTACGACACAATGTATCAGCTGAAATGTGCTGCCAAAACTTTTAATAATCAATGATGGATTCGTTGTTGCAGCCCTGGTTGACAGAGGCCTCTTTTATACAAGCTATATATGATGTTATTTGACCTCATGCAACAACAGTAAGAACAAGATAAGCCTCCCTGATAAGAACCACGTGGCATACAGTGGAGTGTTTAACATTTACTCACCTTTCAGCTGAGATAACTTTCTATTTGAGTCATTATACTTTCACTTTCACATACTGACCACTTTCTTTTTCTGTATTTTATGTTGCAGCATGAGGACGCCTCCGTTAAAATGTTTAACCACCTGGTGAACGTCAACGAGCTGAAGTCGGCGATGAAGACGTACAAGCTGAAGCTGCCTCGCGACCTGTATTTCATCAGGGAACTGATCGCCGGACCAATGGACCCGAAGGACCTGGAGGACCCGAAGGACCCGAAGGAACCCGAAGGACCCGAAGGACCCGAAGGACTCTGAGGACTCTGAGGACCCGAAGGACCCGAAGGACTCTGAGGACTCTGAGGACCCGAAGGACCCGAAGGACTCTGAGGACCCGAAGGACTCTGAGGACCCGAAGGACCCTGAGGACCCGAAGGACCCGAAGGACCCGAAGGACCCGAAGGACCCGAAGGACTCGAAGGCTTTGAAGGACTCGAAGGACCCGAAGGACTCTGAGGACTCTGAGGACCCGGAGGACTCTGAGGACCCGAAGGACTCTGAGGACCCGAAGGACCCGAAGGACCCGAAGGACTCGAAGGACTCGAAGGACCCGAAGGACTCTGAGGACTCTGAGGACCCGGAGGACTCTGAGGACTCTGAGGACCCGGAGGACTCTGAGGACTCTGAGGACTCTGAGGACCCGAAGGACTCTGAGGACCCGAAGGACCCGAAGGACCCGAAGGACCCGAAGGACTCGAAGGACCCGAAGGACCCGAAGGACCCGAAGGACCCGAAGGACTCGAAGGCTTTGAAGGACTCGAAGGACTCTGAGGACTCTGAGGACCCGGAGGACTCTGAGGACTCTGAGGACTCTGAGGACTCTGAGGACTCTGAGGACCCGGAGGACCCGGAGGACTCTGAGGACCCGGAGGACACTGAGGACCCGGAGGACCCGAAAAAAGAAAAGCCAGCGGTAGCCAAAATAAGTTGTTTGGGTCTGCAGGTGGCAGAATGATCACGTTGTTCTATTCGTTCCTGACGTCACTGTGGTCTCATCTCCCCAGTGGCCCTATAGAGGCCGTCCAGAGAACAAGTCCTTCCTCTATGAAATCGTGTCCAACACAAGAAACGCCATCGATGTGGACAAGTGGGACTACTTTGCCAGGTGGGGTCTGTAACCTGAATGTTCCTTATTCATCTGATAACTTGGTCTTCTCACCACGACGTGTCTTCATCCTCAGGGACTGCTACCACCTGGGCATCAAGAACAACTTTGACCACGGCCGCTGCCTGATGTTCGCCAGAGTGTGTGAGGTAGACGGGCAGAAGCAGATCTGCTTCAGAGACAAGGTGCTTCTAACCCACCGGAGATCCAAAGCCCATCGGCTCAATTTGAGAAGCGTGCTCTCTTTAAACAGTCGCCCAAACTACACCTGTTCATCACAAGCTGTAGAAAGAAAAAAAAGTTTAGCATCTATGTAGTCGCCATGTTTGCTTCTTTCCAAGCAGCGAAAAGGAAGGCCCATATTAGGACTGAGGTAGAGAAGACTTATAACGTCTCTAGTAAAGACCTGTCAATCAGCATGTAGCCCCGCCCCTAAAGCATCTCCTGCTTTATGGTCTGTTTGACTCTAAATGGACCACCGTTTACTAAATGAATGAATGTTAAAGACTTGAAACTAGAGATTGTGCATTCATTTCAGATTTGAGTCTCTTTTGGAAAACGCCTTGTCAGAACTTCTCCTGTCCTCCGTCCTCCATGCGTCCTCTAATCGGTTGTCCCTTTCAACAGGAAGTGGAGGATTTGTACGACATGTTCTACACAAGGATTTGTCTCCACCGGAGAGCCTACCAGCACAAAGCGGCCAAAATCGTGGAGACTATGTGAGGAGCTTGTTGTCTTTTCTTCATGACCCCCCACGTGTTACGTTTTTACACAGCGATCATGTGATTTTCTCAGGATCACTGACGCCTTTTTGAAAGCAGACGAGTTCATCGAAAAGTTTGAAGGCTCTAAAGGGAAGAAGTTCAAGCTCTCCGATACCATCAATGACATGGAGGCCTACACCAAGGTGACCGGTGAGTAGAAACACTTTTTCCGTTAGCAGCACTGCAATCGGCTGATTAGCAGAGGTTCTCTTTATTTACGATGCCACGTTATGTGTAATTATCACATTAATATCTCAGCTTTAAACGTACTTTATATTTTGAATGAGATGTTTTAACATCAGAAATAGATACTAGAGCTGAAATATGTCGTGTTACAAAAACCCAAAACAAATTATAATAAATCAAACCTCAGTTTTCAGACGGTTCTCTTATTAAACAGCAATAACTAATGTTTTGGGGCTGTTTATCAAACCATCCTCGCTACAAATTAAAATTCATGAGCAAACTAATAAGTCACTTGTATATTATCAGGATCGTCGGGATCCGAACCTGGGTCTCCGTGTAGCAGGCGGGTTGCCCACCACTGTGCTACGAGTGGTGGTGACTCAGGTGCAGGGAGGCGAGTTGTTTGTAGGGAATCAAAAAAGGTTTCTTTACTTAAAAAGAGCAGAGGATTCCATAAGGCTTGACAGTAACTCAAAAATACTCCCAGACAACTAAAAACAAGGTCTGGGCATTTTACAAGGTAACTAAGAGTGTCCCAAAAAAGAGGCAACAAAAGATCTCAAGAATCATAAAGGATTTAACAGCGGTAGCTCATCTGGAATGTCACGTGGCTCGGCTCCAGGTGTCGACTTCCAAGACTCGGCAAACACAAAGAAACTCGGGTGGCTTTTTAAAGGCTAGAAAACAAGGCACAGGTGAACACAAGGAAAACAATCAAGACCACACACACGTGACAGGATAAAGTGGAACACTGAGGACCCCACATGGTCCTTCAGGGTACTGCAGTCCAAAAGCCCTGACAGTATATGATGTGAATTGATGTTTTTCATCACTCCTGAACTGTAAACCAATAATAGTATATATTATTATTATTGCAGAAGCTATTTTGATCCCTTCTTTGTTAAACCTTCTTAAAAGTAATGGTAACAAAATATATTTGGTGAACGTGTTGTTGTCTTTGCTCCTCCCCACATTCTCTTTTTCTAGATGACGTCTTTGAAAAAATACTCAACTCGTCCTCCGATGAGCTGAAGGACTCGAGGGAGATTCTTCAAGACGTCGTGTGTCGACGCATCTACAAATGCATCGGCCAAGCCCAGCCGACCAAACCTACGAACGTCACTGTCAGTGTGATTATATTCAGTTATTTTACTTTGGAGAAGCTGGAAGCAGTAAATGTTTAACAATGGAAGTGTCTTTGTTCATGTTCGGATGAAGATAATGAGCTTAAATTGAGTCAATCTACAAAAACACGATTTATCTGATTTGTATAAATAGAATGCGAATAAGAGTTTAGCTTAGAAGTGGCTCATCTCATGGTCAAATAACAAACCTCCCCCTCTTTCTCCTCTCAAAGGAGGTTAAAGCGAGCTGGAAAGCCGATCTGGCTCGTCGGGACCCTCAGGACGTGGTTCTGAATCCAGAGGACTTCATCATCGATGTGAGGCTTATTGATCTGATCAGTCCTCGTGCTCCCTGCTCTACCATGTGTCTGTAGGCTTCACTACAACCTTCTCACTCTTTTAGGTCATCAACTTGGACTACGGGATGAAGGAAGAGAACCCCATCGACCGCGTGCGCTTCTACAGCAAGGACGACCCGGACAAAGGCTTCCAGATCCCCCAGAACCAGGTCAGAACCGAACCAGAAGCCCAGACTTCAAATCTCAGGACCGGCTTCAGGTTGTTTATGTCCAACTCTTCCCAATGAAGATGGAGCTTCAAGTTGAAAACGTCCCATCTTCCTACTTAATTGTGTTAAATGAAGTAAACTAAGAACATTGTGCACCTTTTTGTGCCGTTTCTAAAAAAAGAACCATGAAGTTTCCCTCCTTCAACCTTCCAGCTGTCAGATTGAACAATGACGATCCCCTCGATAAAAACTGAGAGTGGAAATATGGAGGTAAAACAAATAGAGAATAAAAAGCAAAGCTGCTGATCAAACAACAGCTGTTATGTTACATTTCATCACATGTCATTTAGCTGACGCTTTTATCCAAAGCGACTTAAGTGCATCCAACCATAAGGATACAAACTCAGAAACAAGAAAGTGCAATTTCATCAAATATGTGGTGCCATCTAAATACTGTTGTCATGGGAATTTCCCAAAAGCTCTGTGGAATCTGACATTTTTAACCCGAGTCCTCAAAACTAAGCCGCCTGCTTCTCCTCTTCACCAGGTGTTTGGCTTTCTCCCAGAGAAGTTCACCAAGGAGCTGATCCGGGTCTACTGCAAGAAGCTTGACAGAGAGAGTCTGAAAGCGGCAAAGGACAACTTTAAACGGTGGTGCGAAGACCCTGACAACCGGATGTTTCAGGTAATCTGCATGTTACAATGCAGCAACGCAATTGTAACAATCTGGAAAACAGTGACAAAACCAGAGAAAAGAAGTGCAATTCTGTAGAAGTCTGTGAGAAAATGACTCTACTTCTCTGTTGATTTATTCCCTCAGTAAACATTGTAAACATGAGTTTATGGTCTCAGTCTCTAGTTTCAAGTCTTCTTCAATACAGATGATGTTTATTTGGTACATTATGGTCCATTTAGATTCAAACAGACCATAAAGCAGGGGATGCTTTAGGGCGGGGCTAATGTGATTGACAGGTTATCAGTGGAAGCCAGAGACATATAAAAGTAGCCGACATGAGGGATTAAAGATGGAAATAAATAATGGGATTGGGACGGAATTCTATGTAATGTAATATGTGTCCAAAAGTCTGATCCGGTGGAAGTGGACTTTACATATTTGAACACAGATCCTTTTGACCCTTATAGTCTGTTGTTTGGTTCCTCACACAGGATGAAGACAAAAATGCCCCCAAGGAGACTCCTGTGAAGTCCAGCGGGACGACATGAAGGAAGTAAACTCAGTTGGTACTAATGTAGACAAATATAATCTATATTATAAATCTCTTTCTACACAGCAAAGATTATAATATCTTTGCACCAAAAAGAGGGATGCGGGACTCGGGGCCCTTTGCTTGTGTTTTTAAACTCTTTATTATAATACTCACAAACATTTAGTTTTAGTTTTACCCTTTTTAATGTTGGTTTTATTTGATATCAAGTGTAACAGATCGTGCTCCCTTCTTCTGTCACAACCTTTAAAACATATATTTAAATGTAAGCTGCGAGCAGCGATGGACGGGTCCTCGCTGCTCTGCACACGTCGGCAATCTGGCCAGACGACTACAAACGGCCAAGAACGCCTGTGGTCGCCGGACAAAGCGACCGCGAGTCAGTAACGGCAGCGAGCGCCGCTGGGAAGGAATCTTTGTCAAATCTATCGTTAACATTATCAAGTTCTTAAGTCTTTTCATTTGAGAGGGATCAGATTAACCTGTGAGGAGCAGGCTGGAAAATAAAAAACCTTTAACTAAGGTCATAAATGATGTCTACAGGGTAAGGAGGTCATGATAAATAAGGAATATGGAGCAGATTAGTTATTAGTATCGTTGAAATAAAACAACTTTTCCTTTTTTGCCGATGCTCTGCGCTCACATAGTTCAATATGAAAAGAATTCAAGCTTTATGCAATTTTTAAAGGCAAAGGTCTCAATATCACACTGCCCAAATTTAAAAAGAATTTTGAAAAAATTATGAAAATGTGCAAAAAAATAGGCTAAAAAATGCAGATATTCAACGTTTAACTGGAGCACCCGTAGTCTTCAAATATTATTAAATAACTAGGGTAGATTCAGGGGTGCACTCACCAAATTAGTTGCATATATATACAATCAATTTGTGGAGGACAGGTCAAGTCATGTGTAAGATATGTGTCTTGCCATATTAAGCCACACGTCTTGGAAGTTTGTTGGTCGATATCTTCTAAAATCACTGAGATGTCAACAAGCAACAAAGATCTCCAGGTGATATTGAACCAATAATGATCCACAAAATATTCTGTGATAATCGGACAGAGAATTTAGGAGAGATGGACAATAATGTGTTTTTGACTAAATTCCAAATGAGGGAAAATCTAATTCGGCGTATTTAAATGCCATGATTGTACTTTGTGTTACCCGAGAGCACATGTGTGCCAAATGTCAATCAGGCATTGGGGGGGAAATGGGGCTACTGTGATACTTCTCTCATTTCTAGGAGGTGCTACAGAGACGCTTCTTTATACCCAAATAATATATATTAATAATAATAATAATTCCTTGAAATACAATGTTCCTCTACGACGAGTCGTAGCGAGGACCTTATTAATTCGGCTCAAACGTTGATGTGAACAGATTTTGGCGTGTGAGTGTTTATTTTTCAGATGTGTGTGACGTTGTTGACTTTATTGTTTATTGTTCTGATACTGAGTGGCTCAACTTCAAGATATTTGCATTATTTTTTTCTTCTTTATTAATGTCACCTTGTCATCTTTTCCATCTTACCTAAATGTAATCTCAAGGAAATCTCTGACGGCGTATTTTATGTTTGGCCGCTTATGCAAAAAAAAAAGAATAGCAATATTTCTGTGTGCAAAGGGAAACTTAAAGATGCTGTGTGGTGCTCCAAAGAAATAAAACGGGTTCCTCTCAGCTTGTCCTCGTGTAATGACCCTTGTTGAAGGTCCCTTAGACCAGAGGATGGTGGTTTAAGAAGAAGCCATTTTTATTATATTGCACATACAGGAAATTGTTCTCTGCATTAATCCCATCCCACACAGTGGAAGCAGCGGGCTGCTGTAAAGGCGCCGGGGAGCAGTTAGGAGTCTTGCTCAGGGGCGATCAAACCGCCTGAGGTTCCTGGCGCAGCCTCTGTACTCCAACGCGCCGCGGTCGCCTCCATAACGATTGTTTTATTGAAACAAGCAGAAAACATCCAACCAACAAAGTAATGTCAAATTAAGAAAAGAGACAACAGGTTAATAAGTTGAAAATAGGCCTGTCAATATATTAAAAAACATTAACTAATTAATCGCATTTTGGAGATTAATCTCAACAATGTTGTTATTAATGAATGTTTTCTCTTCTAAAGATGAAATCTTATTTTTATAATGTGTGTATTTTAGACACAGTTGTTTAATTATTATTTTAAACACAAAACAACACACATTTCATCATCTTGGAGGCATAATTCCACAGGGTGGAACATGTTTGTAACGTGGTTGGTTTTTGTTTAATCCACTTTATTTTCGAACTCTCAGAAGTAATTGCGCTCTCGGCGTCCGGATCCCTCGCGTGACTTCTCTCTCCCCTCCGCCACTACTACTTAAATAGACAGGGATACAAACAATTCATGCCATTGAATGCAGCTGAGGCCAATTACGCCTCCACCTGCCACCGTTCCCTGAGCAACTCCCCCAATCTGTCCCCTCTGCAGCCGATCCAAACCACAATGTTGAACTAGCGACTCTTCCTACTGTCCTTGTGCACTTTGCTATCAACTCTCCATTTGACGGCTGTGTTTGAAGGGCCAATAATCTCCCCACATTTAGCCAGGATGTTTTATTGAATTAAAGAGTATCAACATGAAACTCCATGACTACATTAAGAGGTTTATTTGGTTATTCTGGGTTCTCACTCTATTTCACTCTATTTGTAGGGCTGTAGATAGCTGTAAATAGATTAAATTCATTACAGTTTTTTACTAATTAATTGCACATTTTGAAATTCATTAATGGAAATTAATGAATGTTGTTACAATGTTAATGAACGTTTGATTTTCTTCTAGTAATGAGTAATCACTTTAGAAGACGTGGATTTTAGACACTTGTTGATGTTGAGATGGAAGTAGCCTAGCATCTAATCTCGGCCACATTAATCGCATAGATTAACGCGTTTATGTTGACAGCCCTACTCATTTGTCGGACACACCAAACCTGTTTGTCCCAAAAATCCTGTGAAATTAACCCAGATGTGATTTTGCCGTGACCTGATTGGAAGACCACGGTGGAAAGAAATGTTATGGAGTTAAAGGCCCTCATTCATACAGGCAGCAATCAGACCCTTGTTCATAGACAGTTTATTCGTCGCCACAGTATGTGTATGACTGACCCTGTGCCCATTTGTTGTGTATATGGAGAATAACAATCTTACCCCACGGCAGATGTCTATATTAAAGTAGAAGCCCAGTTACTGAATGTTGGGGTTGTTAAACATCTACCCTTTGCAGTGGTACTAGATCATGACCTACCAGTAGGTAAGGGCTGATTAAAAAAGATGGATATTTCAGAGACCATGAGATACTGTATGACAAACAAGGGTCAGTCAAGCAGCTAATAGTACCTAAATCTTCCCGGGAAATAGTGCTCAAGCTGGGTCATTCTACACTCTGATCAGGCCACTCAAGGAAGAGATATTTCTACTGGATGGGTCTATGTGATGCTATAGAACATGCTATTCAATATCCAGACGTCTTCCCGATGAAAACCCATCACGGCAAAGTCAATTGCTTTTTTTTGGTGCGATTCTTTGCCAGGGTGGAATTTCCGAAGGAAATTCTGACCGACCACGGGACAAACTTCTGTCCAAGCTACTGGGAGATGTGTACAACTTGCTTGGGATTAAAGGAATCAGGACTGACAGAGAGGTTCAACCAAAGCCTCAACCAAATGCTCAGTTCATAAATGTTACAGGATCTGATTGGGAGCAATGGTTACAGTACACACTGTGGGATTTCCAAGGTCGTCCACATGAGGGAGAAACTTGAGGAAATGGCCGCACGGGCCCTGCAGAATATGTTGGAGGCCCAACGAAACCAAAAAAACAGGTGCCTCTAAGGCGACTACGAAATACAGAGCCACACACACTAACTAGTTGTTTGTGTGTTGTTAATAAAGCTCTTTCTTTGCATAAACATGTGGCAAATGTTCATTTTCTCTATAAATTCATTGATGTCCTGGATGGTATCCTAATAATAGTGTAGTAGCCTACATAGGATAACAATGAAATTAATAAACAGGATAATATGAATATATAAATATATATATAAATACAATGAGGGGGGTGACCAATAGCGACAGATCTGCCAACCAATCACGAGTGATTTTACTTGTTTGAAAGTTGTGGTTTCATCCAATAATGAGCAAGGAAACTCAAGCCTGGTCTGCCCACGTGTGGTTTTGCTGCCAATCACGAGTGATTTTATTTGTTCGTAAGTTGTGGTTTCATCCAATAAGGAGTAAGGATATTCAAGCCCGCTCCGCTCGGCCACCCGCGGTTTCGCTGCATTCATATGCTAATTAGGGCCATTCGCACCTCCGCCAGCTCTCCACATACGTCATGGTTCGTTTCCGACAATTTGTGGCACAGACAAACGCGACGTGCGCGGGTTGTAAATTGTCGGAAACGGTCGGAAATTAGAGAGATTTATGGGTGTTTACGGGGACGAAGATCTCACTTTTCATGCAGTGTCTGGAGGTGATACACGCTGGTCCGGACAGACTGAACCTCCAGTAATTTGTACAGTTCCTGCAGTGTGCGTGACATGAACGAGGTGCCCTGGTCAGTCAGAATCTCTTTCGGGATTCCGACTCGGGAGATGACCTAAAACAGCGGCTGCGCAACACTCTTGGCGGAGATGCTGCGCAACGCCACTGCCTCGGGATATCGGGTTGCGTAATCTACCAGAACTAACACAAAGCGATACCCCTGTGGACTCCGGTGAAATGGCCCGATGAGGTCCGTACCTAAGCGCTCAAACGGCAGCTCCATTAACGGTAGCGGACGCAACGGCGCTCTCGGAATGGCCGGCTGGTTTACCAGCTGACACTGCGGGCAGGACGCGCACCATCGGCGCACTTCCGCCCAGATGCCTGGCCAGTAAAATCGGGCCATTATCCGATCCAGAGTTTTATCGCTACCCATGTGGCCCGTCATCGGGTTATAGTGAGCCGCCTGGAAAACTATTTCCCGGTGGCTTTTCAGTACCAATAATTGTGTATTTTCCTGACCTATTTGAGTGTCACTCTGTATAGCCTGTCCCTAATCAGTGAAAAGTGCGGATATGTTAATGCTGTGTCGGGGCGCACCATTTGACTATCAATTCGCATGACTTGGTCGAAGGCAAAGCGTAGAGTATCATCACGAGACTGCTCCAGTGGAAAATCTTCCATGGAGCGTAACTCGCGTAACCCAGTGTTGTGCAGTCCTGACTTTACTAAAGACGTTGTGGCAACCAACAGGTGTGGGTGGAATCACCGGACTCAGATACACGTCTAGTTGCACACGAAAAGGATACGATTTATTGTAACGTACAAAGTAACGGAAACCCTCTTTTGAGGGTGCGGTTCAGCAGGTTTGTTCGGCCTTCAGTCTCCTTCCTGCAGGAAGCATAAAAAACAGGCTTTAACACTCAAACAAACCCCGGCGTGAAGCCAGCTTCTACTCACGTCTTGGCTGCTGGGCTGTTGGCATGGTTGGCCTTTTATACTGTGGCCAACCTTCATCAGCCTCATGAGCTGCACCTGGGCGGCTCGTTGTCTCCTGAGGGGACGGGGTGTTTCCCCTTTTGGTCACCTGACCTCTTGCTCGTTGGTGCCCCTGCCCTTTGTGCTGCTCTCTTGAGGCGCTGTCCAGAGTGCTGCGCCCGTGGGTTACCACAACGTATTGTTGCAACCAGACGCCTTAGAGAGCGGTCTGAGAGCTGCTTCTGCAAGGAGAGGCCAACCATCGTCACCCTGTGGCTTACATGAGCCAAGAGTTATTCCTGAGAGAAACTCGTTATTCGACTGGAGAAAGAAAGTGAAATGGTTTCGGAAGAGAGTTCACCTTGTATGTGTCCCTCATACATTTTGAATATTTTTTGAATATTCATTTGAATATTTTTTGAATATTTGAATATTTCTTTTTTGACAACCTCATATCTTCCTGGAGCTGTAGCTCCCTTGTCCAATGTTTCCAAAATAATCATGTATGTATTGGAAATGTTTGCGGATCTCCATAACTTGTCCTCTCCTGACAATGAATGAACGTATTGTGGATACCAATGCATGTGTCAACGCCAAAGAACTTCAAACCTTGAATTTTCCCTTGGGGATCAATAAAGTACTTCTATTCTATTCTATGTGCACTGCCCAGATGGCTAGGTAAGTAAAGATTACTCCATATTTATTTACCAAGCTTCTTCTTCTCTCAAATGGTCCAAAATAGTCAACGCTGACTCTGGAAACGGAGGATTATCAGGAAGCACTCTGTCTTGAGGAAGGTCTGCCATTTGTTGGTGTTCTGTGGATCCATGCATTAGACCAGTGGTCCCCAACCACCAGGCCGCGGACCGGTACCGGTCACATTATTACACATTATAGAGATAAAATGACAAACAAAAACAGATCAGTGTTTGATAGAAGTGAGAAAACTGACATCTTCCGGAGATCTTAATCTACAGCAGGGGTCTCAAACTCCGGCCGACTTTGGCGGACCGTCAGCGACACTCCCTCGCCGGCCGGGACGTCAGCGCCGCTTCATTCCATCCCCGTTGATGGTGATGTTCGACGAAAATGGATTCAGGCGATCCGGCGGGATGAAGGACCAGACTTTTTAGCATTAAAAAGGGAAGCACTTAAGCAGACACTTTACCTCAGAGTAGGGCTGTCAACG